AGGGAGCTGGGCGGGGAGAAAGAGCAGTACTATCAGGAGGATCATTTCTAAGACGCTGGCCAGGAACCCTCCGCAATCAGGAATCCCCAAGACCCGTGGTTGGCAAACTGCGGCTCCAGAGCCACATGCGGCTCTTGGGCCCCTTGCGTGTGGCTCTTCCACAAAATAGTCTATTTTGAAGAAGTGGCGTTGGAAGAAGTTTAAGTCTAAAAAATTGGGCTCTCCAAAGAAATTTCAATCGTCATCCTGTTGATAGTTGGCTCTGTGGACCGAAGAGTTTGCCGACTCCTGGCCTAGACCAAAGGCCTCCTGCGGCTTCCCTCCAGTCCTGGAAAGGGGCAGGGCGGCCCTGGGCCCCCCACAGGCGGAGAAGCAGGAAAGGCTCCGGGCAGACTGACCAGGATGGGGGAGGTGAAGACAGGCCGGGAGGGGGGAGGGGGAGAAGGGCCGGGAGGGGGGAGGTGGAGAGGGGCCGGGAGGGGGGAGGTGGAGAGGGGCCGGGAGGGGGGAGGTGGAGAGGGGCCGGGAGGGGGGAGGTGGGGACGGACCGGGAGGGGGGAGATGAAGACAGGCCGGGAGGGGGGAGGGGGAGACGGGCCAGGAGGGGGGAGGTGAAGAGGGGCCGGGAGGGGGAGGTGGAAGTGTTCCCTAACAAAGCGCTCCTCCGAGGAGCCCTGGAACCAGGTTTGGGAACAGGCAGCGGGAAGAGGGTGTCATCCCTCGTTAGCTGACGCTCCCAGCACGGCTTTCTCCCCTCTCACCAGCCCATTACTTTCCCAGGGCGCCTGCCAGGGTTCCCACACTGCTATTTTTAACACGACAAGGAACGGGCTTGCCGGCTCCGGCCCTGTGCTTACAGACCCGGGCTGCTCGGGCTCGCCCCGACGAGCCGGTGCCCAGCGAGCATTAGCTGCTGGGCCGGTGCCCAGCCGGCGCTCCCTCACCCAGGGCTTCCTCTTAGCCCGAGGGCTGGGCTGCAGGAAGGGGGCCCCTGCAGTCACCAGTTCTGGTCTAATGGAAACACCCCCCTCCCCAGACTCTGCCCAGGCCCCCCCGCCTCCCTAAAGACAGCCAGCCCTAAGGAGCAGGGAACACAGATCAAGGATGCACCACCTGCCCCCTCCCCGCTCCAGTCCTCCCCCGCCGTGGGGTGTCTGGGTCTGGGCAGCCCCCACCTTCCTGTAACGAAGTGCAGGCTCCCAGGGCTGGGGCTCTGTGCTCCCTGGAGCCCAGGGCGCTGCTGGGGATCAGGCCCTGCGGGGGCTAAGGGCAAGGGGTGGTTGGAAGGCTGCAGCCAGGAGGCCCCAGCCTGCCTGCAGGAAGAAGCAGCCAGTGAGAACCAGCCTGGCCCACACCTGTGCCCGTGAGAGGGTCCTGATGTAAGACGTGCAGCGGGAGGGGAAGGCCCAGAGCGAGGGGAGGCCGTCGAGAAGACCAGGCTGTAGACTGCCTCCAGCACGGCCTCTGCATTCACGTTTAAGACCTGGTGGGCAGGTGTCTTAGAGTCACCGAGACAAGCTGCCATGTCCCTTGTTTGTTACACCTGCCCCTGCCCCTCTGGAGTGGTCTCCCTTGTCCCTCCAGCCTCTCCCTGCCCTCAGCGTAGGGGGCCCATCTTAGATTATACGTGGGAAGCTCCTGAGGGGGCTTGGCAGGAGTTGGGGGTGCCCTTCAAACAGGGGAGTCAAGACGTAGCCCAGGAATCCAGGGCCGGGGCTGCCCCCAGGAAAACCCTATTTCCTACGAGGGACCAGCTCGCACATAACAGGGTGCGGATGGGAGGCAGCTCGTCAAACAGGCAAGGAGGCCCGGCCGGTGTGGCTCAATGGTTGAGCATGGACTCCCCATTGGGAATAGAACCAGGAGGCCATGGTTCTATTCCCAATGAAAGCACATGCCCCAGTTGTGGGTTCAATCCCCCATGCAGGTGGAGGGCATGCAGCAGATAGCCGATCAATGATTCTCTCTCACCAATGATGTTTTAGCCAAAACCAGTTTGGCTCAGTGAATAGAGCAGGACTGAAGGGTCTCGGGTTCGATTCCGGTTAAGGGCATGTACCTTGGTTGTGGGTACATTCCCAGTGGGGGGTGTGCAGGAGGCAGCTGATCGATGTCTCTCATCAATGTTTCTAACTTTCTATCCCTCTCCCTTCCTCTGTAAAAAATCAATAAAATATATATATTTTTAAAATGATGTTTTATAGCTCTCTCCTCCCTTCCTCTCTGAAATATATATATATATATATATATATATATATATATATATATATATATATATATATATTTAAATAAAGGCAATAAGATCTGAAGACTGAAGGGTTGAGGGTTTAATTCCTGGTCAAGGGCATGTACCTCGATTGCAGGCTCAATCCTCAATCCCGATGGGGGTATGAGTGGAAGGCAAACAATCAATGTGTCTCTCACACATCGATGTTTCTCTCTGTCTCTCTCCCTCCTTTCCACTCCTAAAAATTAAAGGGAAAATACCCTAAGGCGAGGACTAACCAAAAATAAATAAATAAATATTTTTAAAAAGCAGCGAGGGCAGCCTGCCAATCCTCACTATTAATAAACAATGGAAGGTCTAGCTCACGGGTGGGGAACGTCTGGCCTGTCCGCCGTATATCACTGGGTCTGGCCCTGCCAAGGCATTCGGGGTGAGTTAATTAAAAGTTTGACCAAGGGTAGCAGGCTCATTTTTAAGTTGATCATTTTGTTCGGCTCACGAATGATGTCATACACATCCAAATGGCAGAAAACAGGCTCTGGACCCTGGGCGCTGCCCTGCAGCGTGAGAGACACAAATCCCAAGGAGAAGCTCACACGGAAGCCAGTACGTTCAGCCAGAACTTTCCTGGCCCAGAGCAAGGCTTTGAGCATCCTCTCAGCTGGAGAACTCGGCCTCTGCTGCAGAGACAGCGAGGCAGCCCGCTCGGAGCGGCGAAGAGCAGGCGGTGCATGCTTCCTGCTGGGCGATGCTGACCTCGACATGCCACCACCTGCCTGGCGAGGGCAGGGCAGGAAAGGCTTCCAGTTAAAAGGCAGAACCCTTTCCCACCAGGCTGTGCGAGAGCCTACGCGACCCGCTTCCAGCGGAGAAACAGGGGCCGGTGGCTGGAAGTGGCTGGAAGTAACAGATCCCGGGACGCGGGCTGACTCATCGGCCCGGGGACCCACGGGCTTGTTTACGTTCCTCCTCCAACACAAGGAGTTGGTGGCAAAACGGCCTCTGCTGAGCGAAACACTGGGGCCAGAAGACGCCATTGGACAAAGGCCCCCAAGAGCCTACAGACACCCTGAGGGAGAGGGTCTTGCCTTGCGGGGGTCTAACCATTGGCTGGCATTCGAAGTGAGGTTTGCATTTCAAAATAGCCACAGCGCCCCTCCCGGCCTGAGCAGTTCCCAGGGCTGCAGCGCGGTGAGGGGGAAAGAACTGTACAGCCTCACAAGGCCCTGGCCCTGGCCCTCCCAGTTAGACAGCTTTATGTCTCCACAGCTTTATGTTCCCGGGAAGCACCGGGTTCAGCAGAAGGCCACCGATCTACTGTATTTTTTAAAATATATCTTATTAATTTTTCACAGAGAGGAAGGGAGAGGGATAGAGAGCTAGAAACATCCATGAGAGAGAAACATCGACCAGCTGCCTCCTGCACACCCTCCACCGGGGATGTGCCCTTAACCAAGCAAGGTACATGCCCTTGACCGGAATCAAACCTAGGACCCTTCAATCCGCAGGCCGATGCTCTATCCACTGAGCCAAACCGGTTTTGGCTACCGATCTGCTGTATTCTCTCTCTCCTAGGCCGGGACGAAAACACAAAGCCTGCGAGGGCACTGGGCCTGGGGAAGCACACACTGCAGCCTTTCTGTGTCCCTTTAGTGGCATCACCACCACCCTAGGGTGAAAAGAGGCCTCATCGCCCCGTAAGCAGCGGAGGATCAGAAGCCAGGCCTCTGAGCCAGCAAAGGCCAGGTGCGGGTTACACGGACCTGCTTTTCTGAGCCTGCTGGTCCCCCGCTTACTGTAGAAGGGGGATCTCCACACACAATACACACACAACGTCCACAGAGAATGCAACCTCGCCACCACAAAGGGACTGGCAGCCCAAGGTGAAGTCATTTATTTAAATGGACTCAGCGGAAGCCTGCATATAAATCATTAAAATGCAAACGCAACTGGAGAAGAAGAACATAAAACAAACGAGCTGCTTCTCAAGACCCCCCTCTCCCACCCCTACGCCCCCAAATCCCTCAGACCGCCATGGACACACCAAATGGAACCGGGGCGGCCGCACCGCCAGGCCCAGGCGCCCGGGAAGCCCGGCCCCGCCAGGGACCCAGCCGAGCCGGTGCTTCCGACCGAAATAATTACCGTCTTACACCAATTTGTGCTCCGGCGTAAATTAGTGAGTGAGTCAAACGGAGCCTCGCTCGCTCACAAAGCCCCGATCCCCACACGGCAATTTGGCTAAGCCGGGCGCGGACCGCAGCGCCGGGCGGGGGCCGGGGGGGCCGGGCGCGCCTCCGGGGGAGCTCCCGGCCCCGAACCCCCAAAACCCGGGGCTTCCCGGGAAGCCAGGGGGCACCCCCGGGCACTTTACAACGTTTCGGGCAAATGCGGGCTCGCGAAGCCGCTCCCGGGAGCCGCAGCTCGGGGGCCAGCGCGCGTCCTCGGACCCGGGCTCCCCACACCCAAACCTGCCCGCTTTGGGCACCGCGGGGCTTTCCGGCTTCGCCCGGCGCTCGGTCCCCCCGCCTCGGCCCCCCCCTTCCCCCCGAGGCTGCTCCGTAAGCGACTCAGGTGGAGAGAAGGGGACCCCTGGAACCCGCCCGAGCACCCCAACCCCAGCCCCAGGCCCGCCCCGGCGCCGCGGCGCCCCCGCCCGGGCCGCTCACCTGTCGTCGACGTGCAGGCTCGGCGAGCACTTGATGGCGAGCCAGGTCTTCCAGTGGACATGGCGCACCTTGTACACCTGCCCGAAGCCGCCCGAGCCCACCTTCTCCCAGCCCGCGAACTCGCCCGCGTCGAAGGTGCGCAGCAGCCCCAGCGCCCAGGGGCCCTCGCTGTCGCCCTCCATCGCCGCTCGCCGCCCGCCTCCGACCTGCGCCGCCCGAGCCCCGGCCGCAGCCCAGGTGCCCAGGTGCGCGCCCCGCCCCGGACGTCATTTCCGTCTCAGGCCCCGCCCCCTGAAGCCCCGCCCCCGCAGGTCCCGCCCCTGCAGCCCCAACGGGGGACCTCGGAAAAGGCTGGGTGCGCAGAAGCTGGGAGTTTTTAGATCATTCAGGCAGAGGCAGGAACTCATTCCGTTTTCCCCCAAAACTGCAAAAAAAGAGGGAAAAGTACATTATAACCAAGATATTGACTTCTGTAAAATCCACGGATCCTATTAAAATTTCCCCAAATTGACCCGTCCTCCTTTGCGTGTATTAACATCTATGCAATGTGATCGCCTGCGTAGGTTCGTGTCTTCACATAGAACATTATTCCATTGGGCAAGGACCCCCCGGTGGTCCCTTCGTAACCGAACTCCCAAGCCCCAGCTCTCACTAGTCTTTCCTCTATGTCTAAAAATGTGATATTTTAAAATACGTTGTGTTTGCACACGGAAGTCATCCAGTGTGGGAGCTTTGGGAATTGGCTTTTTTCCACTCAGCATAATTCGTGGGGACTCGCGTGTTGCTTTATTTTTACGCCCAAGTTTTCCCTTTGGAAGTAACTTTCTTTTTTTTTAATTATCCCAACAGCAAATCTAATGTTCCACAGATAGCAGGAGTTAGTTCCCCATTCTTTCCCAGAAAACAGTGTCTTTTTAACATAGAACAAATCGCTTGAGAAGGAAAGATGTTTTTCCACCTTTGGTGGTGGGCAGGGGAGGGGGCACCTCAGCCTGAACACACCCCACTCTTGAAAAGACACCTGGGTCAGAGGTGGAGAAGTGTGATTGCAAACGTTCACAGCTGAAAACCACTCATTCCTGTAGGTCTGTGCGGTGAGCAAAGGCTTATTCTTAGCCGTCAGAGGTGAATAACGAGGGCAGGATGGGGAGATAGAAGAGGGAGCGTGTTAATGACATGAACTGTAGTTTTGCGTTAGTCACCCGATCCCAGCCCTTACCTTCCACTGGGCACATGAGAATCTCATTTCACAGCCAATAAGGGAGTCCCATTTCTGCTTTGTAAACAGCGGGGACCTCCCCACCCCCACGGGGCTTCCCTTTGGGGAGGACTCGTTGGTGGGAACAGGGCGGGGCTTGTTCCCGCGCTGCCACATCCTTTTCCACATCATCTTGGTATCAAAACGGACCTCCTGGAGACGGTAGTGCCCAGTGGTTCTTTCAAGATTGTTTGTAGCAAATGGGGCCAAAATGTAAACCAAAATTTTAAAAATCATTGGGATTTTGAATGTATAAAAATAACTTGGCAGTAAACGTCATTATTTCAGTGCGGGGAAATGAATGGACTAGAAAATGAGTCAGTTGAGCTGTTTCCTGGATTCAGCTCAGGGCACTTTTCCCTAGACGTTCTGTAGACTCAGTCTCAGCAGCACAGGTGACTAACAGAGCACGCCTGCCTGGTAAGACACACCGATTTCTCTTATTAACCATCTGCCTGCTTCACTTGACAAATATTTATGAACTATCTGCTGTAGGCTCAGCGTTGGGCTCCGAGGTCAGGGAACTGGATATGCCTACAGAGGCCTGAACTGCAGTCAGAGAGGGGACAAAGGTCCCCGGACAATGATCACGGTCAGAGCTGGATGGACTGGCCAGGCCCCTCCTGTAGACTTGGCCTTGTTCCTCACCTGGACCACTCAGTCCACTCACCGTGAAGGTCCGTTTCCTAATCTCTCACAGGAAAAGGAAGTCCTTGCCGGGACTGTGAAGACAGACAGGGTTCTAAACCCTCTGGGATTATAGCAGAGTCCTTGTTAGTTAAGCTAATGGTCACTGGTCATTGGCGGGTAAGGTGTATTTCCCAAGTCTGAAAGTAACTCCCGGTGGTAATATTTTAATGGCTGTTTTAGTATTATTTATTTTATAACTCCAGGGGTTACATCTTCATGGTTAGTTCTCTATGGCCACCTAAGAACCCTCAAGGGATAAATAGAAGATGTCTGCCCGTGGTTGACAGAGAACACTTGGTATTACATTAATTTATGAGATTAAAGTGTCAAAGGAGAAGAAAAGATTTAGTCTTATTTTGTTGTGCAAACATGTAACATAGTTCAAGCATAGCAAGCAACAATGACAAAGTAGGGGGAAAGATTTAAAATGGACACAGCAAATAGCTTAGCTGAAATAATTTAAAAGACACAAAATATAAAGATCTGTCCTTTTTGAAGTGAAGAGATTTCACTATTTGTAACCTTTTAAAAAAAAATAAATCACCGAGACCGGTTTGGCTCAATGGATAGAGCGTCGGCTTGGGGACTGAAGGGACCCGGGTTCGATTCCGGTCAAGGGCATGTACCTTGGTTGCGGGCATATCCCCAGTAGGGGGTGTGCAAGAGGCAGCTGATCGATGACTCTCATCGATGTTTCTAGCTTTCTATCTCTCTCCCTTCCTCTCTGAACAAAATCAATAAAATATATTTAAAAAAATAAACATCAGCTTAAAAAAAATAAATCTTAGCAGCAGTTTATGTCTGAGATTATGCCCATCCAAATTAAAATTTAACGTTTTCAATGTTACCTGTAAGATACAATAAATCTTATCAGAATACTAAATAAAACAAACTGGACATTAGATTGAATTTTCCATCTGAATGAACTGTAGCAGTTTTCTTAAGAAAACGTATATGTCGCTTTGTAAGCATTCACAGTCTCTGAAATAATTGAGCTCACTACAGTGTTAATGGAAAGCCTTCATCAAAGCATATTTTCACTTTTAATGCCTTTTAGGTAAAAACAAAAGTTGGCCCAGTTAAAGGAAAATAGTTGGTGAACAATATTAGGTGAATAATAGTGCAGGTTCTGAATCTCGGATGGGGGAAGTGGCCATGGTGAGGATGAATGAATGCCCAGTGCCAGGTGTGCGGTGCCAGGGAGTCAGGACGGATGGGGACCCAGACAGGCTGCAGGCCAGGTGAGTTGGAGCCAGACGCTCAGACCAGAGGCCGCTACCCCGCGGGGTGCGCGGGCGAGGAGGGGAGGCCGGTAGGGGGGATGCCAGCCCCTGGGCTTCTGCGGGCATTTTCCCTAAAAATATCTAAACCCGCTTCCTCCTGCCTGGCGCCCTGGACAGCGCATCGCCATCCCCATCGGCGCCTCTGCTGTCCGCGGCTCCGGGCGCGCCGGCTGCGGGCGGGTGTTCCATGTCCACCGGACCGACCCGCAGGCCCCGGAGGAGGCGCGTGCGAGGACCCTCCTGGGGAGGAGGTGGTGGGGTCCCAGCACCATGACCATGGGCGAGTTTGCGGGTCCTTGAAATCGGGAGAGGAGGGGGCTGGGGTCCACCGCACAGGATGGCGTGGGCTCCCAGGAGATGGCTTGCTCGGCGTGCCCGGGGATGACAGCGCCGGTTATCGGTCACTTCTGGGGCGCTGCTGCGTGCAGGGGAACCGTCTGTCCCCTTCGGGGTCCCCGAGCAGCGGGTCCTGGCACAGCCCTCCGGGGGGGTGGTCACGTAGGTCTGCAGCCATCCAGGACTGACCGACCGTCCGGGCTGTCATAGCCCGGTGCCTCCAGGTCCTGCACCAGATCAGCCCCATCCGACTGCGCCGGGGAGGCCCGGCCTGCGCGCGCCCCGCCCCTCAAGCCCCGCCCCTCGTCAGGCCCTGCCCCGCCGGCACTCCTCCAGGTCCAGCCCTCTCCTGGAAGGACTGTCCCAACTGCAACTCGCAAGGCTGCTTTTGAGAAATTCCTGCCTGATTTGAATGTTACTTGCTCAAAGGACATACCTTGTTCAGTGCTGCGAGTCTGCACTCATTAATTCTGAGAAATGTGACTTGGTCCCTGGCAGGGCTTTCCAGAAACACCCCTGGTACTGGGGGAGTGAGGGTGAGGGGAGGAGGGGAAGGTTGGAAGCACTAGCTTCACCTTCTGCTTTTCTCAAGCAAATAGTTAACACAAACCTCCCTTTTCAGAGATGCTTCTCGGGCCCCAGGGGTCCCCTATCTGCCCTCCCTGGGTGTCATTTGTTCCCTGCCCTGGAGACAAGTCTGGAAGCTCTGGTCTCCTGCAGCTGTGTGCATGGAGCAGATGCTTGTTGAGTTATTTTTACAGTATGGCTGTACAGAAGCACAGAGCAGTGCTCGCTGAATTACTTTTACATATGGCTGTGCAGGAGCACAGAGCAGTGCTCGCTGAATTACTTTTACATATGGCTGTGCAGGAGCATGGAGCAGTGCTTGCTGAGTTACTTTTCCAGTATGGCTGTGCAGGAGCATGGAGCGGAGCAGATGCTTGCTGAGTGGCACTTGGCTCTATGGTCCTCTGCCCCTCATCTGCAGGCCCTGCTCTGGGAGTGTTTAATCCAGGCCCCCTGCTCCCTCGTGCAGCTTTCCTCTCTGTCCCTGGGTCACCTTGTCCACGCCTCTGCCTCCGTATCAATCTACTCAACAAAGACTCCACGTTTATACCTCCAGGCCAGGTCTCTCCTCTGAGCACCTGACCTCAAAATCCAACACGGATGTCTCAACGGCCCCTTAGCACGTTAGAGAGGGGCCTGTGCTTTTTACCCCCAAACTAGTTCTTTCCAGAGATCTCCCACCGCTCATCTTTGTGCATAAGCCATCTTCCATGCTGAAGGCCGGGAACCCCAAAGCACCTGCAGTACCTCATCAACACTCCATCCTGTGAGATCATCCAGTCTACAGCCAACAGCCCCTCTCCCCCTGACCTGGACAAGAGGCGGCTCCAGTCTGGTCCTCCCCACCCACACAGGGCCAAGAGGTGCTCACTGTCCGGGATGAAGCTCTAGGTACCTGTGACCTTGGAACTCCTAGCCCCAATTCCAAGCCCTCCTGGGTTTGTCATCCAAAGAGTGACCCCACTGCTGGAGTGAGTACCCCAAGGCCCAAGGTGTGGCTAGAGGAAGCCGTTTGCAGGGGACGTGGATGTAGCTGCCACCTGGAGCTGGGATGCCCACCAGTGGACCTGGAGTCCGAGAATTCCAGTTGGAATCTGGCTCCCAAGTTGTTGTGAGGTTGTGTTTGTCAAAACAGGAGGACAGTGCATTTTATAATATTTAAAACTAGAGGCTCAGTGCACGACATTTGTGCACTGGCAGGGTCTCTAGAAGCTGCTGGCTGCCAGCTGGGGCCTCCCTCCCTTCCCCAACTGGCCCCACCTCCTGGTTGAACTTCCAGTCTACCTCCTGGACAAGGGGACAATTTGCACACTACGCTTTTATCACATAGGATTGTGTCAGCTTGATTTAGAACTTTCAACGGTTTAGACATGTGGCACGTTGGCCTCAGTTTGTACCCTTCCCCGGCGGAAATGTCACCAGTCTGGTCTCTGAGACACTAGCTCTTCCTTCCTTGGAACCTCTCTCTCGCTGGACTCCATCTCACGTGCCTGCCCCTGGCCTAAGTCATTGTCATTTCCAGCCTGGGTCAAACGCAGATCTGACCGCGTTCAGGATGAATAGGCCTGTCTCTCTATCTTCATCCTCTCCTCTCTGCTGCTCCAGGTTTCCCGGCTGCCCCTCCCACCCTGCTTCTCGCAGGCCCTCTGACTCAGGCTCCCCAGGGCCTTTGCACAAGCTGTCCTGTCTTTCTGGAAAGTTCAGCTGACAATCAGCTTACTCCCACTCAGCCCATCTCCCTGTCTCCCCCCGAAGTCTCAGGCTCAGTCAGATTTCTCTTTTACAGGCTCAGGAGCATGTGCTTGTTGTATTATTGGGTTCATTGGGCGGCTGCTGACCTATACCTGGCTCCTCCACTCTGGGCCCCACCCACCTGTCCAGCTCCATCAATAACCACCCCCTTCCCTGTTCCAGCCACAGTGGTCTTTTTGTTCTTCCAAAACCCAAGCACATTCCTTCTCAGACCCTCCGCATGTGCGGCTCTTTCTCCTGGGACTCTGGCCCTACTCCTCTGCAGGTCCCACCTGTCTCTCTCTCTTTCTGTTCAATGTCACTGCCACACCTCGGCTTCCCAGGTGACTTGTCTAAAGCAGCACTGATCCACTCCACCTCCAAGCCACCCCCTCTCTGCTGACACCTCAGAACACTGGGGGTTCAGTCACGCCAGGGAGAGGCCTGCTTGCATTGCCTCCAGAGCGCCCCCACGTGGTGCCTGGGTGGTACAGCAAGTGATCCCTAAGCGGTTTCCAAAGCGCCCCCCCCCCCCCACACACACACAGGGCACTATGGGAATGTCAGTAATCTTCCCACAGTGTGCCTAGGCCCAAAGGAATGCTCAACAGCTTCCTCTGTTGAGTTAGTTAGGATTAAACAGCTTAAAAAGTGTTTATGGGAAAACAGTCGGCAGTTCCTCAAAAAGTTAAGCATAGTGTTACCATCCTAGAGGCCTGATGCACAAAATCCATGCAGGAATAGGCCTTCCTTCCCCGGCTGCAGGCACTGGCTTCCCTCTGGCACCCGGGACCGGGCTTCCCTCACAGCCCCAGCTTCACCCAGAAGGTCGTCTGGAAGGACATCCGGTCTGATTAGCATATTACACTTTTATTACTATAGAGTAGAGGCCTGGTGCATGAAATTTGTGCACAGGTAGGGTCCCTTTGTCTGGCCAGCAATCAGGGCCAATCAGGGCCTTTAGCTGCCAGCCCGCTCCTCCCTTCCCCAGCTGCCAGCTGCAGGCCTTCCTTCACTCTGTGCCACCCCTGGTGGTCAGCACATGTCATAGCAAGCAATTGGTCTACTGATT